AGTGTATAGTAGTGAGTGGTCATTGTCTGCGAAGGGTATAGTAGTGAGTGGTCATTGTCTGCGAAGTGTATAGTAGTGAGTGGTCATTGTCTGCGGAGGGTATAGTAGTGAGTGGTCTGGAAATGGAAGGCAGGGGAGAAACTCAGATGAACACGTGAGGACGTAGTAGACGGTGTGCTGTCAACCTGTGTAAGCTGAGAATGTGGCCAACAGGGGGCTTTTTAACACAAGCAGCCACCATCACGTGATGGTGCAATAAAGTGAAGTAGTCACTACCTGTGGCCATAGAGGGGACCCAGCAGTGATGAGAACAGGCTTCTTAACCCAAGGTGCAAAAACTTTAGCACTGAGCGGTCCTCTTCCTGTCTGAGCGCCTTGCTGTTGGTTCCTTGTAGACTGTGACTCTGTACTAAGCATTACACTAAAGCAGACATCTATTGCTACACATGAATAGTTTGTTTTTTTCTGGTTATCACATGTAACGCTTTAAACATAGTTCATAGAGCTGTAGGATATTCATTGCTATTATTGTTTTCAATATCCCACGTTATGACTAAAAACAGTGGTGCTGAGGGAGATGATGGAAATCGTTTCCAATGTATTTTCTCATTTGGAACACTCATGAAATTTATATATGTTTATAATAAACAAAAGATTAGAAAGTAACTATGTTGTTTCCCTAGAACTGCAGTACTAACTAGATGAAATTCACTGACATACTGAGTTTCCTTGATTGTTTTTTAAGATTGTTAGAACTATCACCGTTAGCATGATTTTGAACATTTTAGGTAAGGTCATAGATGGTGATTATGGTTCCGAAGGGATTTTGGTACACTGTATTTAAGTTAAAAACAAAAATAACTTAATGTTGCCATAAAGTTTGAACTATAGGCCAATAGAGATATAAGGAAAAGCTAATACTCTGGCACAGATTTTGTGTTTGGGTTAATATGCAGGAAACAGCTCATTCTAAAATGAGATAAACCAGACCTGAACCAGCAGGTGAACTAGATCTCAATGTAAAGTATGGATCTTAAAACATGTCCAGTAGTTATGTAGTATCACTTTTGTTAAATGCATGTCTAACTTTCAAAGTGATGCAAAATATTTCAGATTAATTTTATTCAGAAATGCTTTAAGGCTAATCTAATTGATATCTAACTATAAACTCTACCTTAACATGCTTGTTTTATCCTCTAAATCAAGCCTTTTCTCTATACTTTTTCAAATTTTGCCCATTATTAGTGAGTTTGTTAGATTTTTGACAACAATATGTTTATTTTGAAAATATAACTATGGTTGATCTACTTCCTAATTAAAGAAGCTGACTGGCTAAGTTCATCAATACATTTTTCTTAGCGCCTGTCTCTGGATAATGTCTCATAAGCAAGGCTGTAATTTCAGCTTTTTATTTGGTATCTTTTTTTTTTTTACATACATACTTTCACAGTATTGCTTTTGTACCCTTTTTTATCAGTTTTATTTTTGTTCCTTCTGATGTCTTGTTTCTGATGTACCCTGTTGAACTTTTGAGCAGAAAACAGGTCAAATAAATAACTGCAATAAAAAAGAAACTAAAGAATATTTTCATTATTTAAGAGAAGAAATAGAAAGCCGTGATATTGGCTGATAATGTGTAAAACAGGATGCATTTTGGTCAAAGGCTGGTTTAGTGCTTTAAAACTTAAAATACCTTCTCAATATTATTTTTGGCTTTATTTTCAATTCTGATATTGGCTATTCATCACCTTTATAAATAACATTTTATATGCCAGCATGTTATGAGAAAACAATGTAGGACCTTTTGTATTATATGTTAATAATCCATTGAAACAAGATGAGTGAATTTAACTTGAAATATTAATATTAGCCTCCTACTGGATCTCACCTCCCTGGTCTCATTTGTTCTGCTATCAGTCCATCTGCTCACTGCCCTTTAAGGGACCAGCCTCCCAACCTCAGGAAACTCTCCCATCCCTGGTACTCTCTTACTCATAGATAAAGGTCAGACTTCTTGGTACTCTGTGTCTCTTTTTGATATAAGCTTCATTTTTTTTCCTGTATTCACCTTTAACCATTTCCTCTGGGGAAGCGCTCTCTCTCTCTTGTTTACCCATGAGGGTATTTCCCTTTTTTGGTATTTTATGCTCCAGCAACATTTAACATCTTGTATTTCTCAAAACAATCCACCTTGTGTTGCTTCTTTCTGGGAAAGAAGCTGCCCTCTCTTGTCTTGAAAGCTCTCTTCCTAGTCTTTGTGTTCCAGCCTGAGTGGAGGCATCCCTCCATCCCCTGCTGGATCCCTGCTGGTCTGTACTCAGCCTCTGTTGCATGGCCTTCTGTATAGACCTCTGGTCAGCACTTTGCAAAAAGCTTCGTAAAATAGTGTTTCATGCATCTTTATCCACACGAGACAGTAAGCCATTCGCGGCCAGATCTTTAAATTTACTCTTCTGTGATTTTCCAAGAACTAACAAATAGCAAGTGTTCCAGAATTTGAACTCAACAGAAATTTTATCATGTTTAGCTTTTTATTTTAAGATATTTTAAAACTTTGATTAATTAGATTGAAGGAAATCCCCTCATGTAGATGGCTAATGCTTTGGGTACAATAGTAAAAAAAAATATTTCTTTCTAGCACCAATGACAGCTCTGTGTGTGTGTATCCATGTAAGTAGATACTTGTTGAACTCAAACATATTTGAATAACAGAAGTTCAAAATTATATTGACTAGCAACTAAAAATCCAGAATAGAGAGCCCTCAAATGTTTACTTAATGTGATAAAAAATATCTCAACAAAATCAGCTAGTTGCTACTGCCAGGTGAATTACTGTGCTAAATTAAACAATGCCCTAGCAATGTAAAAACATGGTCACGTCTTCCAAAAGGCCCAAAGAGAACTTCAGGACACAGCAGGCCCATTCTCACGTAACCTAGAGAATTGCACAGTGGAATTACTCCCAATGTTCCTGATGGATGCGTATCTTCAAATTTTTATTTCTCTAACAGAGATAGTTAGGGATTTAAGGATATATAGAAAACCATGTCTTAAAAATTCCCAAACCTGAAAGGTGATATTCCATTTCAGTCAGAAGAGGAATTTGCTTCTCAAAATAGAAATGTTGAAAGAGAAGGAAGTCGATGTTTAAAAAAGTGGTTGAGAAATAGCAGCTGTTTCTTTCAGTTCTGATAGTCAATAAGATAAAATTTATTTTGTCTTCATGTTTTATTTACCCGTCCTACATAAGAGTACTTATTTACGTATGAAATATTTTGTATACCAGAAACAAATGGAAAGCTTCCTGTACAATTTAAAGTAACTGACGGTTTTCTTTGTTTTGATTACTGTTACTTACACGCTCTACTCACAGTTTTCACTGCTATTTAAGCCTTACAAACCTCTTCTGGACATTGCATATGTGTAACTCTTTTTAAAAAAAAAGAAAAACTCTTTTGTTTGTTTAACCTTGAACTGTATGGTTAGGTGAAAAAAATTGGTATTTTGATAGGACAATTTGGTAACCTTTTTTGCTTAGAACGGACCATAATTCAATTTGGAATTTCTTTTCAGATCTATTCTGCCCACATCACTGTCCTGTGGCAAAATATACATGGAGGCAGTGCCTTAGCAAAGAGTTATAGGTGTAAATTGTATAGATATTACAGGCATATCAAATAATATAAATATTATCAGAGCAAGAGGGTGGGAGTTTCTTTGGTCGTGGACCAAGTTCCTGAACCCAGTTCCTGTTAGTGGGGAAAGAAACCCAAGCTTATATCAATATTAAAAGATTATAGCAGAATCAAACGTAAGCAGAAACGCCACCACCACCACCAAGGAAAGCACAAAGAACTTTGTGGTTGGAATGAGGCATAAAGGGTTTTACCAGCATAGTCGAGTCTTATTGCATTATGGTTAGCAGCCTTCCTTGCCAATCAAAACTTTTCTATAACTCTGTATAGCATAGAATTCACAGTGCCTAAAAGGGGGAGGGTAACTTAGTTATGGAAGTGGAATGTCAAAACTCTTCTTCAGTTGTGGCACAAACTGGTAACATAACTTGCCAAATGTTGGCTTTTAAAGCAGCGAGTTATAGTTCAGACTAAAAAAAGAAATAAGTAATTATAAGGCCAGTGTTTTATTAATATGACGTTTCTTCTCTGATTGTAATTGCTCTATTTTATCTTGTATACCACATTTAAAACTTAATTTGTTACATCTCTGTTTTGTATTAGACTCTTTTGTATTACTTCTTAATTCCTGAAAATTAAAGCAAGTAATTATTACACTCAAGTGAAATGGAGTACTTTCACACTTATAATCATACTTAAAATATATATTTTTTCTAATGATAGATATCCTCTCTGACTCTCTTGATTTTTTCTATTCTTTCTGGTACTACAATCACATCTATGCTACACAAGCATTTTCCTTTTGATAAAACACAGCAGATTATCCTAAAGCAAAAGAAAGAAAGTACAGCAACAAGGTTTATGCTTTGCTTACACTACATCAGATTAGAATATAGAATATCTGTAGTCTAATAGGAAATATAAGGCTATATTTTGTTTTATAACTTTGTTTTAAGGATGATTATTCTT